ATATTCCTATTTTATGCATATCAGAATCTATTTTGCAATCCTTAAAGGCACCTCCATCCCACACTCTGCTTCTTTCTTCACAGAAGGAATGGAAGGAACAAAAAACAAGCTACTGGAGCTTGCTACTGGACTCATTGGGGAAGTCCCTGTTCCCCCGAGCACTCCCAGGAGTGGCTAGAAATAACGGTCACAAGCTGGCAAAGGGTAGATTCAGACTAGACATCAGGAGATGCTACTTCATTGTCAGGGCGGCTAGGATCTGGAACCAACTTCCAAGAGAAGTGGTGCTGGCTCCTACCTTGGGGGTCTTTAAGAGGAGGCCAGATGTACGCGTTGCTGGGGTCATTTGACCCCAGTACTTTTTCTTGTCAGAGGGCAGGGGTTGAAGCCTGGCTCTGGGAGCACAGATGTGTGAAATGAGGCCTTGTCTACACTGACATGGCTCTGCTGGCAGAAGTTCTGGTGGTAGACAATAGCCACCCGTCCCCAGCCACCACAGCCTGTACCTGTCCATGTGCTTCTGACAGCTTCTTGTGGCTCCACTGCAGCAGCTGGCAGAACCTTTCTTCCACTTGACAGACGGGATGTTCCTGCCAGGAGCAGAGGAGATTCCTACCACCACAGAGCATAGATGAATTCAAGGTTTTGTCTCCAAAACACTGTAGTATAAGCTAGCCCTGAGTCATGTTACACCATTTAGTATAAGGCCACTGCACTTATCTGCAGTAAGATATAGGAGTATTTTACTCGTTGGGAAATAATCTGCCAAAGCCCAACACTTGCAAATGGTACTTAGAGTGCAGTAATGCAGGAGCATTCATGTCATTATTGCCTAGGACTGCAAGCTCTGGGGGCTGGGGATTCTGCATGGACTCTCTGTAATCACAAACTTGGTTATGCAGATATGAGATGCCTTTGTTACAGATGCTGTTATTGCCTGATTGTTTTTGACACATGAATGCAACAGGGAAGAAAACACTTGGACCCTTTCCCTACCTCATGTGCCTGTGCACAGAGGCCATACACAATGCCTATCCTTATGTTCCTCAGCTCCCAGGAAAAAACAATGTTAGTATCAGGGCTTAAGGGCTAAGCAGAATGGGTCAAGGACAAGACTCCATCCAATGTCCATAAATGCCAATGCAAAAGGCAAGCATATATAACGTCTTTCAATACCTGTGGCTGCTTTTGTTCTAGAATGGGCTCTCTGAATGCCATTCCAGGGGAATTTTGACTGAGCTAGCTCTAATGCTTTGAAATTCTCTCACTGCAACACATAGCTCCTCCTTTGCTCCATCTCGTGCACTGTAACACAGAACCCATTAGGGAGCTCAAAAATGATTAAAACTGGACTGAAACACAATTTAAAACTACGCATGCATGTCTGCACACACATCCTGCCCTCCGAACAGTTTTGCAAATACAGTGAAATTATTACAATCATAATAAAGTTACACAAAAACAGTATTCAAAATAACTGGGAATTAATTCCTGCACATTTTAGAATTGCACAATGTTCATTAGACCCAAACAGTATATAGAGTAAGTGGCTTTAGTGAAACCTAGGACAAAAATGATTTTGTATATTAAATATTAGGCTCTTTGATTTTATCTAGCAATAGCTTGATCTTCTGCATAAACATTCCATCTACTTTAAAACAGACTTATACTGCACTTTTATTGCAATACTTAACAGCTGTGGAAATTACTGGTTGTGAATTGCTACTTATCTTAACCCTTACAAATGGGGAATTTTAAGAGCCTAGAACTTGCCACATGAGACAGACACTCTCTCTGATATGCTGGGGACAGACATTACACAAACTGGTTTAAGTGATCAAAAACTGATTTAAACCTGTAACAGAACAAATGTTCAATGCACATAAACCAGTTTGAAAATGACTGAAACCAGTTTGAGATAAACTTGCTAGAATGCAGTATCAGACTTAACTGATCTGGGTCAAACCAGTTTATGCAATGTCTGTCCCTTACTGGTTTAAGTTAAACCAGACTCCTCCAGCATCCTGGCCTGCTCTCTGGGCTGGGTGGGGTCTCTGCTTCACATCAGGGCTAGCCCCTCCCCTCTGATCCCTAACTTCAGCTCCAGCACAGACTGTAGGCAGCTCCCCACAACCTTGTCACCACTCCCTACTCAGCAGGAATTCCCCCCTCCCCTCCCCTCTGCCTTGCCCCTTACCGGTTTGTGTATTAGCTAGCAGACCACAAGCTTGCTACAGTCTATACAGTGACAGGTGGGACAAAGGCAGAATCAGCAGGCAGCTGGTAATGTCTCCTTGTTTTTTTCTTAATGGGGTGATAAACACTGAGTTAGGGGTGATAAACACTGTGTTATCAATTCCCTGTTGGGCTGGTGGTGGGGGCAACCCCTCCCTAATCCATAACCAGAGCATTCTGCTGGGCCTGGCCACACCTCCTCAGCTCAGCACTTCTGACAGGAAGGGAAGGCTGCTTTAGTGCCCCCCGGCTTGTACCCTGAGCTACTGCAGGCATGTGCCTGCATGTCTGGGATGCCTGTTCAGTTACAAACTGATTTAGCCGAGTCCGGTTAAACTAACTTGCAAAGACTCAATCAGTTCTGGCTCAGGCTTTTTGAATGTCTGTCCCTAGCCATAGAGGCCAGAACCAGAAGCTTCTAAGAAATGTAAAAATTCCCTCTACTGGGCAATTAAGGAATCATCTGACTATAGAAGAAGCTCTTCCTTAACTCCAGGTATTTTGCATCTATACTGTGTCTGTTTAAGCTTCTGTCTAACCTTATGAACACCCACTTTTGTAACAAGCTCATTAAAGCATTGGCTTAATTTGATACCTTTTGGTAGAGGTGTCAAACTCAAATGAGTTGGTGGGCTGGTCCTGGACCATGGAATTTCTCATGAACTAGACAACCCAACTCTGGATCTAATCTGCATGGGTTCTCACCATGGCTGCCAGAGGTGCTGAATCGGCATGGCCCTCAGCCAAGAAGTTCACAGCACTACTGCTCAACCCCCATTGCTAACTACCACTAATTTTAGTCAACAGGAGTTTTCAACACCAGTAAATTCACAGTCAGCCTTCACCCCCTAGGGACTAGCTGTACTGATACAGTGCTGCAGCAGCAGGGTTGAGTACAAGTGATGGGGTTTAGTGGTAGCATTTTTAACTTCTTTGCTGCTAGGACCTCTGGCCAGAAGCAGTGGGCCAGATGTTTGACACCTCTGCCTTGTGGCAGTGAGTTCTACTACTTAATTAAGCACTGTGCAACCCTCAACCAAATGAATGTTCAGGATATTGTGTGCTTTCCAAAGAGCAAACTTGATTGCAAAGAGCAGTGAAAGAGGTAGGAGCACGTTAGTCCTGTACATTAACCTGCAAGTTGAAACTATCCTGAAGGCAAAGGTTAATGCTATTTGCATATTTGCATAATTCTAAAGCTACAAAAAAGTTTCCAATCCAGCAATGCTGAACGCTTCATAGATCAAGCCCTTCGTCCCTGGAGGGAGGCAAATCATTGCCTTCTGCACCTCTGCTGCATGCTTGTTCAATTAAGCAAGTAAGACACTATGTACAAGTATATACGTGTATTTTATTACTTACAGAACACACCTTTTTCCCCCCACAATTGAGGTGCATGTTTTAAGTGGGGAAGTTGCTATCTTCACTGGGCAAGGAGCACCACACATGCCACGCAGCTACCAAGAGGACTGCTGCTTGTGCCTGCCTAACAAGCTGAAGGGGTGGAGTCCTATGTTACCCCTCTCAGAGCTATAAACCTATTCAAGAGTGTGGGACCTAACCTTGCAGGACAGAGTAAGTCCTCCTGGGAACAAACAGGCTAGGGACAGCCATGACACACAAACCAGTTTAAGCGATCAGAAACTGGTTTAAATCTATAACAGTACAGATGTTCAGTGCACATAAACCAGTTTGAAAACGGCAAAAAACCCCAGTTCGCGATAAACCTGGTTGAATGTAGTATCAGACTTAACTGATTTGGGTCAAACCTATTTATGCAATATCTGCTCCACACCCCTTGCTGGTTTACAATAAATATGACTCCCCAGCTTCCAGACATGCTGTCTGGGCTGGGCGGGGCTCTCTGGTCCACAGCAGAGCTGGCCCCTCCCCTCTGCTCCCAGGCTGTAGCTCCAGCACAGATTGCATGCTGCACCCCTTTCCCCTCACCACTCCCTGCTAAGCAGGAATTCCTCCCTCCCCTCTGCCTTGCTGAGGAGGTGTCTGGGTATTATCTAGCAGACCACATGCTGGTCCTTGCTGAATCAACAGGTAGAATCAACAAGCAGACTCTAGAGGTAGCTGGTAATATTTCTCTGTTGTTTTCTTAATGGGGTGATAAACACTGAGTTAGGGGTAATAAGCACTGTTATCAATTCCCTGCTGGACTAATCAGAGCATCCTGCCAGGGTCTGGCCATGCCCCCCATCACTCAGTGCTGTGGAAGGGATGGGAGGGCTGTTCTAATGCCCCCTAGCTTCTAGCCTGAGCCACTGCACACATGTGCCTGCATGTCTGAGATGTTTACAAACCAGTTCAGCCTAGCCAAGTTAGACTAACATGCAAAGATTGAATCAATTCAGGCTCAGGTGTTCTGAATGTCTGTCCCTAGCCACAGTATCCAGGAAGTGTGGCACTGCAGGAAACTGTACCACATCTGGAAGGTCCTGAAGCCACATTACCTGGGAAGACTTTTAACTTTATGTCATGCCGTTGGCCATGACTCTGGAAAAAAATCTTTTTTCCCCCTACATTCTTTCTGTCAAATACAAGGTGCATGCTTTATTTTGGGGGCATGGTGGATGTCAGAAAATACAGTAAGCTCACATATGCTTGCTGTTCTTTAGTGACAGCTATATTTCAGTTTAGCACAACTCATTGCTGGTACCCCATTACTGTGAAATTCATTTCCAATATGATCTCAGAATTAAAGACTGTTAAAATCATTCAGGTGGATTGGGAATAGATGGATATCAGGGAAAAGGTTCAAGAACTGTCCCGGAAAGTATTATCTTTATTATACAATAAAAGGGCTGTGCAAAATTCCTTAGAAGGCACAGAATACATGGGACTATACTACTTGTTTTCCGTTTGTTCAACTCTGTCCCTGGAGACCCTCCTTCAGTAGAAACTATTTCAAATATTCAGAAAGAGCCCTGTGGCAGCAGTCACATGTTACCTAAGTGAATGAGATGTTGTTATCAGTGGTTTAAAATCAGACTGTACACTGAAAATGACATACTGGACTTTTCTAGTAATGTCATACCCTGTGGCCCTGATGTAACCTTCATACCAATGATCATCTTAAATTTACACCATATGAGGGACATCCTCACCTTGAAAGACAGAAGTGTGTGCATATGTGTGGAGGGGGAGGTAGTGGTGGGGGTAGGGAGGAATAAAAATAGGGCAGGGGAAAAATGAAGGGGATTTTAAACCCTAGAGTGAGCCCACTGAAGTTACCTTGGATTTCTATGGAGGTGAGAATCTGCCCTGCTGTTATCTCATTGAGAGTCAAAATGAAAAAAGAAGCAAAAAAACCCAAACAAAAAAAACCACAGGAAAATTCCATTCTGCCCGATCTCCTGGAGAAAACAGTTTCATTCCTACAGATGCCGAGGCATCTGGTATTGGGGAAGCTTTACCAACACGTTTTGGGTGGTGTGAAGAGACACAAAGTTCAATTACAAAACCTTGCTGGGGTTCTTCTTAATATTATGCCATACCTGGAAAGCAAAGTACATACAGAAAAACATTTTTAACTAATTATCATGTTCTTGTTCAAATTAAAAATGCACAGGTCAACCTAGAAACCTGATTTCCAGTAAAGCTTGAACAGTAGGAACATGGACTATCATTGTTTGTGACTGAAGAGTTCCTCCTCAATAATTCAGCAATTAAAAAAATGAAGTTAATGATCTCTCTTGGTAATCCATGTCACTCATAGGGAGTTTCTAGCAGCATTTTAGGGTTAAGAGCATAGATAATGGTGGGAAGCATCTGTGAAAGTAACCTTCTGTCCTCAACTTTCCTGCTAGTGGGATTTAACAGGCAGGTTCAGTCTGCGAAGGCTATCACATCCTCTAGCTCTGCAGGAAGGAGGAAATTGGATTTCTCTCATGTTCAATGGGTGGCTCTTTAGTGACACATCCTGGTTGTCATCTCCTTCTGTAAAACAAAAGAGGGAATTAAAAATCAAAGGTCACTGGCTTTACAATATGCACATAGTGCCTGCACATTTATGATTTCCACATCTCACATGCCAGCCATTGCCATGTGGCTTTGCATGTCACATATCTGCACTATTCTCTCTCATCTTCAAGGACAATGCACATAATTGGCAATTAGCATAAAATCTTTTATCATTTCTGACAACTTTAATACTGTATTAATTCCAAAACTGTGCCTGCTAAATGTTGCTTCATCCCCCATAAAAAAGATAAATTACTTGCAAGTATCCTCTCTGGTTGTGAAGCAAAAAGGACTTTTAAGTTAATGTAAAAAATGGGATTCCGTCTTTGTCACTGAATGTAAGACTAGAGGAAAAAGTTCCAATTATGAAATGCAGTTACACACCCCTAAAAGTGGTAAATCTTCTCTAGAGTTGGACTTGATTGCAGTTTGGATCCAAAATTCAATTTGGAAACCTTCCCAACTGCAATTTTCCACCTGGAATTTGGTTTAGTCCATTATATGGCTGTATTTAAGCTATGAAGTTTGGATCTGGAATGGAAGGTGTACAGCCAGCTCTTGATTCTGTAGTTTGGGATGAAAATATTTTTGACTTTACAGAGCACCTTTCCTTTTTAAATGCTTTACAATACAATACAACAGTACCATTCTGCAAACTGTTCCTTCCCTGCAGTGTATATGCTATTACGAACAGTCCCACTGATGTCAAGACACTGACATCTCTGCTGTGCTGTGCACGGACACTGACCTGAGGGGAGCTACTGCTCATAAGAGTAAGCTGTAGATCACACTTGCAACAGCAGGCTGGACATAACACCAAAAAAAGACTGGTAGGTGGAAGGTGGTTTCCAACTGACACAAAACAGACTACAGTGGGAAGACAAGCAAAGTGATGAGCCTATTACTTATTAAAGGGACTCATTCAAATTGCCATGGGACCATCAGTGTCTGTGCAGAGTGCACTTAGGGTCTCAGTTTTTAAAGCTTTCATTCAAACCTTCATGCCATCCCCAAAGACAGGTCATTTTAGTGGGGAGCCAAAATACACAGATTATATGTCGGTTAATCCCCCTGTAATACATGAAAGGTTGAGCTAACACCTTTAACACTAACTCATGGAGTTCAGGGGGCTTTTGTTATTCCAAAGAGGGAGCTCTGCTCATTCATTATCCTCTCAGGCCTGGACATTTTAATGGTACTCTTGATTATACACATGGAACAAGGCATTTAAGTTGTCATGTGGCAAGGGATACTGGAGAGAGCACAGTTACATATTAAAAAATACAGATTAATTGTATACAGAATTAAATAAAATTCCTGAAATTTAAATCTACCACATCAACTACAACCAATGAAATTATCAGCCATGTTGGGAAAATGGAGGACTTAGGGTTTGGGAACAAGCTGGGGAGTCTCAATTGTAGGTCTGTGTCTCGTGGTGCTTACTGACTGCTCCAACAAGGAAGCATCCAGGAAGTGCTGAAGCAGTTTTACCAAGCAATCATATCATACCTAGCAGTTTAAGCAAGGAGGCCAACAATTAAGATTCACAAAATATGAAGAGCTGTGGGTCAGGGCTCAAGCACATAGACATTTTCACTGCCTGTTGCAAATAATCTGTGAATAAGCAGTAGACTATTTCACATCATATATTGATTCACTTAATAAAATTGGAACAACAGCGAACTTGCTACACAGGCAACTGTCTGTCCAGGTCAGGATGGCAACTGCAGCAACCCCAGCCTTGTACTTATGGCTTTTGTTTGTTCTTTTTTTGAAAACATATTTTAAGCATCTAATATTTGTTTCCTTTCATATCAGCAAGTTTCACTGTCCAAAAATGGGAGCTCCATAAAATTAGCAGGGGCCCTTCAGATCTTCCTTGGAACCTGCATGGAACTAACTGCAAGTGAACACAGCCTGCTATCACATGAATCTGGATTGCTTCCCTTCCTGTTTTGTGGAAAGCATCTACAAAGGACAGGTCAGCACTGGGAGCTGTGGGGAACAGAAGTGTTGAAGCAAGAGGTATTCATGCAGATTCCACGTAGCACTTGGACAACCCAAGGATTGCCATCCTGATATGAACCACATGAATGACCTCCCAAACCAGAAAAAGTGTCGCCAGGTTAATGCGGGCTGGGCACGCAGCAGCAAGCTCTCCCAAAAGGCAGAACTTATTGGCATGTACCCAGCACAGCATTAAGGTGAGCACAATACTTCTGGGTCAAAAGCTAGGGGCATCTGGATGGGCAGGCTGCATCTCAATATGGTGCCCTTTAGTGCCAGATGAGGATAGTTCAGATGTACCTGCAGATAAGTGGTTCTCAACTTTGTTAGACTCCAGGCCCCCCCTCAGAACATGCTAGCTCTTAGCTTTCATTCATTTTGTGACTATGCAGATAATTCAGAAAGACCACAACAGGGCAGAAATGAATTTGATTCCTATTTGAAATTTCTGAGTTTGTCTTGTGAATTATGTGCAGGTGTTACACACCTAACTGCTAATATTTTGCTGCACCTTTTAAAGGATCTCATGGTACCTAAACGATAACCTGTACTTACTGGCTGCAATTGTATCACCTGATATCAGAAAAAAGGAAGCAAGCGAAAAATAAAGATCACGGCAGATGGAAGACCCCAGACATCCATTCTGTGGTCACACAGAAGGCACTAAATGACTTAAAGCATGAAAGAGTTCTGTGACCAGTGTTGTGCCCTTGGGCAAGATGGCTGACAGGGCATGGCTGAAGTTATGGAAGGAAACATTATCTATCAGATGCTCTGAAATGGACCTGGAACCCCAGAAGGACCTTCCCAGAGGGGCTGATACAGATCGGTCAACATGGCAATGCCTGAACTGCCCGAGCAAGCAAAGTGTAAGATCAAAAAACAAACATGATCAAATGGAGCTGCTCTAAATGACACAAATACATGCGAGTGTGGTGAACAATGAACCATGAAGCAGCTGCTCATTTGCAGACTCCTTGATGAGACCTGTATGAAGGAGGACCTCACTGTAGTGCACGATTCTACCCCTAACCCTAACCCCCCGCTCGCAGCATCCCAACCCCCGCACACCGCTGCCTCCGTCTCCACCTCTGCCTCCAAGGAGGAAGGGGGCAGGGTGAGGCCAGCAGAGCTGGTCTTGCCCCACCCCCGTCCCCTTTTCTGTCCAGTCTGCTGCCGCCGCCTCTGGTGGGCAGGGAGGCCCTGCTCCGTCCCCTGGGTCCCCACCATGGTGGTGCTCCACCACCTCCTGTCCAAATGCTGCATTCACACTCTGAATGGTTGTTTCCATCAGCCAATCAGAGTGCGAATAAAGTGGTAAGGACAGACAGACAGACTACAGCTTTTATAATATTAGAATAATGCCCTTTGCTCCATATCGCTTACTGGAAGAAACCTTTAGGATTTGAAGGGAAAGCAACTTGAACTTTTACCTTAAAACCATCATACAGCACCAGTTACTTGTGGGGAAAATCAGAAGGTATCTGAAGTACAGAGGTGTTCAGCTGACTTTGAATTTCACTAGCAAAAAGTGATCAGAATTTACAAAATCTGCTTTTCCAGACAAAAGTATTGATGGACGAATGTAAGATTTTTTTTTGGCAGGGGGCGCTTGTGATATCTCTTATTAAACCAACTGTATAGTTGAGAGAAATGTTAGACAAACTGTCAATTACAAAATGCTCTTTTTCAGGTCAGGAGTGAATGGGCCAGTCAAAGGGCTTACACACTTTTACTGACCTTTTCAGGCCCATCTGCATTCTGAATCATCTCCACTGTGTGGCACCAAACTTATTGAGAATAAATGTGGAGAGCAGATTCGAGAACTTCATTTTTCCATTTGTACGGCATCCTCCTCTAACAATCTTCCATGTACAGACATGCAGCCATGCGCTCTTAGAGAAAAAAGACTAGTAAACAACTTCTTTGTAGTTTATTGCTGCAATGTCACTGCTTTCTTTCTAATCCTGGCAAGTGGTGTCTTCTCAATGGAAAAACTGGGAGTTAATGTGCAGCAGAGCTGTGTTAACCTCTACAGGCTCTTAATGCAGGTATCTGGAGCCTATACACCATAGTGGTGGTTTCCTTAGAATCAAAATAGATGAGACAGATAAAACATTACCTCTCCTCTCTACAGCTGCTACTGCCCAACTATTAGGGAAGTCAGCTAGAAGCCATTTATCTTCTTTAGGAGGCTGTCAGGTTGTTGTGCAGAAGCAGAGAAAGTCAATGGGTGTCACAGATCTGCCCATTCTGCGTCTCTGGGATTAGAGGGAGGCAAACTCCACCCTCCCAAGTACAATAATGAGCAGGCAAAGCCACAAACTGGTACTCAGTTTCCTGCTTCCTACTTGAGAAAATTCTGAACTCAGATACAATAGGGATGAGTTCATTAGAAACACGAGGTAGACAAGGGGGGTGGGGTCTAGAAGAGCCTGATTTTATACACACTACATCTGGTAAAAGTTTTTAAGCTACTTGCCACATTAGTGCTTCCACAGAGTGAAGCTATGAATGGTTCATTGCCAAAATATTCACTCTGAGCCTGCATTTGCCACCTCTTAAATGTTTGCTGAAGCTAAATTTACCCTTTATATTAATGAAAAAAAAACTTTTGTGGCATTATAAAGTACATAGTGTTTTGCCTGCTTCTTTTGATGGTCCTATCCATTTTCTACCTCTTCCCTACCCCACTCCTAGCAGTCCTGCAACTGGTTCTGCAGATCTCTCCTTGCCAGTTCACCCCTATTTAAATGTCTGTCTGTTCTAAGTCCTGTTTGGCATTGGTGTTAGAAATGTTTGCAGGAGTCAGACATCCAGAAAACGATTCTGGGTCTGATAACATCATTATCACTGAAACAGAGAAGCCATTTCTAAATGGACACACATTGTTATCACCAGTGAACAGCAGAGACATGGAGAGAAACAAGCAGGGCTACATTCAGTCTGTGCACGCAAAGGCATAGGTTTTTATCAACTTCCACTGACCCTGGTGATAACAACAATTAAAGTTAACTGAGATATTTCCTTAGAGAAGCTGGAGTAAACTAGTCTGTATTCCAAGAAGAGAGAGATATGCACAGATACAGACTTATTTTGTTGTATTTTTTTTTTCTTACAGGAATTTACAACAGGGAATCAAAATAAACAGGAAATGGTTTCTAAAACAGAAATCCAAATGCTTATGAACCAGGCAAAATATATTAGCTTCAGTCAAGATTCGATGGGGCTTTTAGGGGATGATCAAGAGGTTGTGCAACAGCAATCTGACTCGAGACAAATTGTTGCAAGACTCAGACAGGATATTCTGTTTGGAAATCATTAAAGCCCTTCTCTGGCACTTTAAAGAGCAGGCTATTTTTTTCCTCACCAAATAATCTCTCAGATAATGGTTTTCAAGAAGCAACAGAATGATCCATCCTTAAGGGTTCTAACAAACTTCTGGCCACATACAAACATTCAGTGGCTGCTTTCCCAGGAGAAAAAACCACAAGTGTACAGATGTTCAGGATTTCTCTCCCAAAGCAAAAATGACCATTCCAAGAGGAAAATAACCTGGGAACAACCAGGGTTAAATCCCTCCCAGGAGTTTCTCCTGGGACAGCAAATATCTATACAATTTACCCTGCTGAGAGAAATCGCAGCACAGTCTTTCAGCATCCCAGGGCGTTTTGCCCCTGCCCCTGAGATTGTGTTGCTTGGGATGGACTCTACTACTTCAGCTGAGCAAGAAGCAGAACAACCCCCCCCACCTCCTTTAAAATCCCACATTGTGCTGCAAGGAGTCACCAGCTGACCCTGATCGGTCTGGTAAGAAGAAGAATTCTCCCAGGTCATCTGAACACGTGTAACACAGCGCTAGGCATCAGGCAGTCTAAAGCCAAATCTCAGTCTAAATCACTGAAAAATCTCAGTGGCCCAAAGGAGATTTTGGCCCCTCTTATTCCAACAATACAATGAAAACTTATATGTAACTGCTATTAAAATAAATTAGAGCCTACCTCCTCTCAAGTTTGGTGGCAGAATAAACTCTTTAGTCTTTATTCTAGAAAGCTATTTTAACTGAAATGCAAAGGGTTGTGGGAACATTCTTGACTAGTAGCACCTGTTACAGGAAAAGGGGGTATAAGAAAGTTGAAGCCTAACGACATGCAGAAAATCAATTTACTGACTACCTCTTCTAATGGAGAGGAGGGAGTGCAGGAACTGCTGACTCTGGTCTGTGGTACTATGGTCTTGAGCCCCAACTGGGAATGAAAAGATATAACAGCTGCACAAAGAGACTAGACACACACACACTACACACACAAGAGAGAGAGAAAAGAGAGAGAGAAAAATGATTTCTTAAATATATTAAAGCTTATTCTTTTACTTAATCCCCTACCCCCCAAGGCTAGTTAGTGGAGCTATTCAGTCCAGAAACCTGGGTTTAACTCCATTTGCTGTGGCTTTGCAATCCCCTTTGAAAAAGCAACTACAGAGTATTAACCGCTTATCAGTATATGGCCAATGCATCAAGAGCCATTACTTCACTTGGTGCTAAATGAAAGAATTAACTCAAAAACTGATGGCAGAAAAGACTTCTCCTTTAAAGCAGCAGCATAGAGCAGAAATGGAAACTGAGTCTAGACCAGTTTGACTGCCCATGCATCAGGCTGGGAGTGGTATTTAACATAGAACTAATTTGCAACTATTAACAAATCCTTTCTTCTTCTCTGTCAAATTATTCTAACGCTTTCTAGTTTGCTGGAGATATTCTAGAAGACAATTCCTCTAACCCCAGAAGTCACAGCACAGCCAATGGTATTTGTGATGTCACAAAAGGATGCATTCTTAGAGATTTTTTGGGAAGTGCCAAAATAACTCCACAGACAAGACCTCCTCGTCTCTAATCCCCTCCCCACTTTTAAAGAATAAGTTAATCAATCTTTATTTCATTTCTTTGATTGTCTTCTCCTCCCCTTTCCACATCTGTGTGGTAAATACACTCAGCATATAACTCAACTCAAGTTTCATTTTTTGCTTCCCTGTTCACATTCTATTTCAAATAAAGCAAGAAAAGAAAGAAAGAAACCTAACAGCTTTCTGAGTTTGTGAGGAGATCAAGAGTTTCAGTGTTTCTAAAGGGACAAAATCATTTTTGTGAAAATTTCTCTGAAGCCCTGCTCTCCAGAAGAACAGCTCATCAGGGGAAGCTAGGGTCTGGCATTACTGTTGTGGTGCTCTGGTTAAAAGCTTTGTTCTTTAGAGAACACAGTTTCTGTTGCTGGGTGAATCACACAAGGGGTAGGCAAAACATCAGGAATGACATGCTACACATCCAGAAATTACACATTTTTGTGCATGTGTAATTTTCCACATAAAACATATGACTGCGCATAATTGGATAAAATCTCATGCAATTCCCTGGGGTTTAGCTGGTGACTGGAAAGGGAAACTCCTGCTTCAAGGAAAGGCGGATGGGTGTGTGTGTGGGGTTTGTGGGTGGGGGTGGGCACCCCCACCATGCCCCCCACCCCATTGTGCCCAGCTCCTGCCAGTGGCGGCAGCCACTGGTGGTGGGCCCTCAGGGTGCTCCTGGCTGAGGAGGCAGAGCCCCTGGTGGTGCACAGCCATAAGCCCCATGTGCTGGCACAGAGCCAGCCTGGTTTGGCCCAAACGCACTCGCCAGCAGACTGAACTGGACTGGCTCCATGCCACCACATGCGGCCCCCAGGATTTGTTGGAGCTGTGTGTCGCCAGGTACTCTGTCTGATGTGGCCAGGAGCACCCTGAAGGCCTGCTGGCAGCAGGGGCTGTGTGCAGCAGGGGGCATGTGGCAGGGAAGCCCACACCCACCCACAAATCCCACACACTCCCCCACAAACCCTGCACACTTCCATACCCACACCCGCCTAGAAACCTCCCACAGACACCCATGCCCCCCACACCTTGACAACCCCCCACACACCTGATACTCGCCATCCAACCACACCCCACGCACACAAATATCTGAATGAATATCTAAAGTAGGTTCAAATAGTGTTATATTTAGTTTAATTTGAAAAATAAATGTAATTAATTTAGCATAATTTTGAGGGTTTTTGTGCATAATATTGAATTTTCCTGTGCATAATTCCCTGGGGTATAACTTGCTATGAGCTTCACTCAACCCACATATTTGAAGGAGGCATGCATGTTCATTTTGTCCTATGAGGGAGCAGATGGGAATCTGAGCAAAATACCAGGAATAATCCAGGAAGATGGTGATGTTTTATAATATCACAGGAAAAAATAAAAAACAAAACAAAGAAGAAAAACCTCCTTCAGGTACACTGGGAATGCCACATAGAGCGCTGACAGATGTGATAGTCTGTGCGTAACTGACCACTGAAAGTGCTCTACTCCTGTGCACTGACAGAAGCACATGGCTGCAGAACGCTTTAAAAATGCCTGATAGTGCAATAATCTGAACCCTCATTGCATGCATCAGGGTTCTAATTAACGTCTGTCAGCGTGGCCAGAAGCAGGGCTCAGCTGATGCAGCCCAGCATTGCTCCACCTGCTGTCTTCAGAATGGGAGGGGGGGGAAGGGAGAGAAGTGAATGCAGGCTGGGGGATCCCATCCACCCCATCCTCACACACACCAGAATAGCTGGGAAAACCTCAGACCGATCCCACTCTCCTGCCTTCCCTGAGAAAGAATGGGGGCTTGGAGGGCAGTTGGGGCTGGGGGCCAGTTGCTATTGAAATGCATCCTCTCTTCCTGGATCAGTTTCAAAGGGTTGCTGCTCACATACCCCACAATCCAACAGTGAACTCTGTTGGATTGGGAGTGTCAGTCTAATTTATAGCACTTCCTGTAAAGTGTCATGCGTTTGACTGGGGAGCTGCATGTCTGTCAGCACCCACAGAGTCTAATACTTGGTTCAGCCCATTTCAGCTTCACAACCATAATAAATCCAAAATATCTATTTTGGATCTGCTAGCACCAACAGAGAGATTGCTTGCCATGCTTTCCCCTTCGATTATACTATAATCCCTAGAAAAACTAAACAGCAAATTACTGCCCTTCACTAGCTACCCTGGCTCAGCTCCAAAAAGGATATTAAGAAGCAACAAAAGCTTCTCAGCATATGTATGCTATTAGGAATAGGAAGGAGTAGGCACAAAAAATTATGTTTTTCCTCCAGAGTCTATGCAAGGGTCCATGAAGATGGGGAGGTGGGAAGATAAGAGCCACTGCTGGCATCTGTATCATACAGTATGTTGATGCCAGCACTGGCTGAAACTCAGAAGAGACTTTTTACAAGGTGCAGCAATACTTGCTCCCACCTACAGAGTGATTTAATGACTTTAAAAAATTACAAAATGTCATTAACAGTCAACCATCCTGGTATGATGTCACCACCCACTGCCACTCAGGAAAGGCCCATTCTACCCCATGGCTCCAGAAGAGTTTTCACATGGACCTACTGACAGCAGTAGAAACTACTGAAGTGCTCTGCAGGACTGTGTACAGAGATTATAAAGGCACATGTTCTCTTCAGCATGCTCTGTAGGTGTACTTTTGGAAAAACTAATTTTAAAGGGAAGGCCCACAGGTCCAGCAAGGGCCAAATATGAAACCGAGGGCTCAGCCATGTGCCCCTTAAGTCAGTGAGGAGCACTGTTATCAACTGCAGGAGGGACACGATATCAGATGCTACATGTTCATAGTACAAAGAAATGGTTTACATTTGCAGTACACAGATTTGTAAATGAGAATGGTTTCAAAGCAAAAATGGACTAAGTTATTGTGTTGCTGTTTTCTGTTTGAATACTTCTATGTTCATAAAGGGCAAGAAACCATCAAGTGAACAAAGCCCTTAGTGTCCTAGTCACAAAAACAAGCTGTTTACTAGGAAATTAAAGAAATCAAGAATGTCAAATTCCAGCATTGCACAACTACAGCCTCTATTTAGACTTCTAATTAACCATGATACCAATACTAAAACCAAATTTGGAACAACAGAATCATTTGCAAAAGTTCCCTCTTTCCTTTTCTGCACGAATGGTGACACACTGTTTTAGCTGATGAGAGCCACACCCTAATGTTATACTTACAAGGATCTTGCATGAAAATATACTCAAACCCTTTCCCATGACCTCTCAGGATTGTCTCTCTCCCAACAAGCTACAGTCAGACTGATCACTAACCAATACATCAGGG